GGGAGATGGGAGTTTTATCTATAATCCCTTGCCTGGGGCTGCTGCCTTTCTTTCAGAGACATTCTGCCCAGAGAGGAGGAATCTAGAGAGCAGGAGTGGCTTTCAAAAGTCTCTAAGATATCTAATTTGGGGGCATTCAATGTCCAACATAACATATGAAGAGAAAGCTTATGGGCCCATTAAATTGAGAGTCACATGCTGGTGAAGACTTTGCTAAAAGAAAAAGCAAGCGCTTCTAGAAAGCACTTTATCCCTGAAAAAGATAGGAGAAAAGGAAGGAAAATGAACATCCCTAAGGCCACTGTCAGAAAGACTGATGCTGATCATGTCTCCACCTCCTTGTAGTGTGGAACTTACAATTTTTCTAAAGTACTGATTTCTCAATACCTCTCACTGGCCTATGTGCATATCCAAATGACAGGCTGTTTACTCTTGTTATTCCTTTGGTAATCAAGAGATGATCACTGAGGGGGGAAATACAAAAGACAATTTTTAAATATAAAAGCATTCTGGACATATAAAAGTGGTGTTTCAGTTTTCAGATGAATTTTTTAAAGTTATGTACAGTTCTTATCAAAATGTATGTGGCCAACATTTCCTGAGTTTTTTAGGACATACAGTTGCCAAGTTATCAAAAGTTGTAAATTTACATATACTTCTTGCTGGTAGGTGGGTAACCCTGGAAGGTCAGGCTTTTAGCTAGGCTGAAGAACGTCGGTAGTTATTCTGGCAACAGGATCCAAACTAATATTTTGTTCCTGAGGCCAACCGAGTGGCAACAAAGTGATTCGTGGTTGAATTGAATCCAGCTGGATGTTTCTCCAGCGTATTTTAAGAAGCACTGCCTGGTGAGAAGTGTGAATTGTGGTCTAGGCGGAGACAAGGCCAGAGTCAGAGGATATGGCTAAGGCAGTGATGGGAGAAGGGATGCAGACACAGAAGATGGGGAATCCAGAGTAGTTGGATTGCAGTTTGCAGAACCTGTGAGGATCTTCTACAAGTGTAGGAAGGACTGTGAGAGTAGGTGTGGCAGCTTCAAGGACAGTGGGTCGCAGCTGTACTATATTTTCTGTAGAGGCAGCATGACGTCGAGTTAGAAGCATGATCCTGGATCCATACTGTCTAGTTTTGAATGCTCCTTCTGTCACTCACTAGCTATCTGGTGTTAGACAAGTTACTTAACTGTTCTGTGCCTCCGTTTCAGAACTGTAAACTGGGGATAATAGTATGTTGATGAAAAGAGTCAAATTCTTTAAAATATTTGAATTTTCATTAGTAACAAGTGGCCCGTGACACAGTCCCACGAGATTCTGTCTCAGGTGGTCAGGCTAAACTTCATTTTATACATTTTAGGGAGACATAAGACATCGATCAATACATGTAAGTTGTACATTGGCTTGGTCTAGAAAGGCAGGACAACTGGAAACAGGGGTGTCCAGGTTGTAGGTGGATTTGGGAATTTTTTAATTGGCAGTAAATTGAAAGGATTAAGTTGTTGTCTAAAGATCCTGATTCAATACAAGGGAATGTCTGGGTTAAGAGAAGGGGTTATGGAGACCAAGAGTCCCATTGTGCAGACAGAATCAATAGAAGGGAGTATTTCTTATCAGACTTAAAGAGTCTGTTCTTTCAATCTTAAGGTGCCTGTTTTAATGTTAATACTGGTCAGCTGTGTCTGAATTCCAAAGAGGGGAGAGTAAAATGAGGCATGTCTAGCCCCCAGCCCTCTGACCTTATTGTGGCCTGAACTAGTTTTTCAGGTTTACTTCGGAATATCCTTGGCCAAGGGGAGGGTCCATCAGCTGGCTGGGTGGCTTAGAATTTTATTTTTGATTTACAAATAGTACCCATCACATTGGGTTATTGGACATATGAAAGGGATGTATGTGTAAGGCACATGACAAGAGCTCTCAAGTGTTAGAAGTTATAATTCTGATCTAGGTTTCCCTAATGTCCAAATTTATTTGTTTTGAAGGTGTTGGGAATTGCATGCTGTGACAGATGATCTCGCTTTTCACTCAGTCTTGAGAGGAGGGCACAGGGGCCTGGTCCATAGCACACTAAATAAAAAATGAAGCAACTATGGGCAGTCAAGATTGAAAGGAGTTTTCAGTTTCAACTCACAGGGAGCTAGGTGAAGGGAAATTAGGGAGAAGTATGAACCCACCTTCAGTCAAAGATATGATAAACAAAACAAAAGTCACAGTAGAGTTTTTTAAAAATTAAAAAGAAACCCCACATCCAAACACTTGAAATATTGTGATCTAGTTGAAAGAAAGGAATGTGGGCATGAAATAAAGGTTTGGGGGAAGCGATCTTCCTTCGTAGTGAACAGGGGTTGGTCCAGAAATGCCCATGGGCCAAATCTGGCCTACTGCTGGTTTGTGTATGATTAACAAGCTACGATTGCTTTTTACTTTTTTAAATGTTGAAAAAAATCAAAAGAAGAATATTCATAATATGTGAAAACTAGGTGCAATTTCCATTTCAGTGTTCATAAATAAAATTTGATTATAACACAGCCATACTTGTTTTTTTATGGATTGTCCCTGTCTGGTTTCTTGCTTCAAGGGCAGAACTGAGTGTTTGGGACGAGATTGTACACCCTCTATGCCTTAAATATTTACTCTCTGATCCTTTCCAGAAGTTATTGACCCCTGGTATTAATGAGTTAAAGCATGGCTGTATTTCTCACTGCTTCGTGTTCCCTGAATACCATTTATTATTTTCTCTCTTTGTAATAATGTATAACATGCATGGAAGCATAGTTTTATTTCACTTAACCCTTTACAATGATTATATTAAAATTAGGATGCTCTTTTTGAAGATTAAAAATTACAGTTTTAGCTATTACATGCAGGGCTTAATACCTAGGTAATGGGTTGATAGGTGTAGCAAACCACCATGGCACACATTTACCTATGTAACAAACCTGCACGTCCTGCACATGTATCCTGGAACTTAAAATTAAAAAAAAAAAAAATCACAGTTTTGCAGTTTACAAAATTCCACCAGGAAACTCTAAATTACTCTTCAATACCCTGGGGGAAAAAAATCCTGCATCTTTCTAAACCACAGACATGTTTTTGTGGGATGAAGGCTGAGGAAACTAGCCTCCAATGTGTAATTTGATTTTCCCCACTCTCTCCTATCTTATGTGTTCAATAAATATCTGTTGAATTGATTTTCATCATGTTGACAGATAAACTTGGTTGGCAAGAATAGGAAAGTTATTTGTTTATTTGTTCTATGTGAAAATATAGAACTTTCAAAACACCTAGGGCAGTTATCTAATGATGTGGCACTTTGTTAGAATCTGTACAAAGAAATGTTAGGCAAAAATCACAAATTTATAGTTAATGGGTACTAATGCAGCCAGCAATACATGAGGTCACCCTGCTGTTTTTAATTCTGTCCGTGTGTTTTCTGTAGCATTTTTAACTTTTACAGTATATGCCACATTTAATGAGAGAAAGAAAGGATTACGTTTGTCTACTGTTACTACTTCTCAGTAGTTAGCAAAGAGATACTCTCTTAGCAGTCTATTTTAGCTGCCATTCCATTAACATGAGACATTAATATTTGCAAAGTTTTTTTTTTCCTTTGGCAATGAAGGGGTTAACTTTAAAATATGTTAAGAAGGGACAACTGAGGTCCCAAAGAAAATATTTTCTTACCACTCTAAGGCAGAGCCATTTGGCTATTTAGAAGAATTGTTTTATAAGACGGGTTTTTATAGCAATCATATCCATGCAATCAGTGATGCCTCTGAGCTTGGTCCTATTGGCATCCTCATGAGGTTATAATGTAATTTAATATTGACCATCTTAAACATATGATCAACTTTTTCAGACTATTTTTTCCTGATTTTTCACATGACATTTCCCAGTGGCACTTAAATTTTAAAATGCTCTGTTTTTAAAGATTGAAATCAGAACCAGATGAGAACAGTACCAATTGCTTAGGCTACCATAACTCGGCAACACTGTGTGTTTAATGTGATCAGTGCTAAAAATGTGCATTATTCACAGTGTTACACAGATGTATAAACCAGTATACTTTGTAATTTAAATACCCTAAAAATTATACTTTTCTCATAATTGTATTAATGCATGAAAAGTGTGAATCACTCATTCTGGTGATTCAGCAATGGATTTGAACTATCAAGCCATTATAAATATCCTTAAACTGCAATATACTGTTTTTAAAAAGTTAAATATGAAAATTTACTTCTCTGGAATACATATGTAGAATGGAGCCTGACACATAATAAGTGCAAAGAAAGTAGTTTCATGATGATACTTTGTTTTGGGGTTTGTTTGTTTGTTTGTTTGAGACAGAGTCTCGCTCTATCACGAGGCTGGAGTGCAGTGGCGCAATCATGGCTCATGCAACCTCTACTTCCTGGGTTCAAGCGATTCTCCTGCCTCAGCCTCCCGAGTGTGGCAACATGCCCAGCTAATTTTTGTATTTTTAGTAGAGACAGGGTTTCACCATATTGGCCAGGATGGTCTCGAACTCCCGACCTTGTGATCCACCCGCCTTGGCCTCCCAAAGTGCTGGGATTACAGGCCTGAGCCACCGCGCCCAGCCAATGGTACTTGTTATTCGGGCTATTGGGGTCAAACTGACTGAGTGTGAATCCTATTTATGTTCTTTACAGATTTTTGATCCATGGCAAATTTCTCAACCATTCCAGCCCTAGGTCACTTTATCTCTAGATTGGAAATAATAATAGGACCTACTCAATGGGATCAGTAAAAACATTAAACATGATTGTGCAACATGAAGTGCTTAACAGTGTCTGAGCTGCAACTTCTAATTCTTAAATGTTCTATCAGTATTGCTATATTATTGTTATCTTCTATCTTCTTACTATGATTTTAATATAAAGTTACATATAAATGCCAGTGTAAAAAATAAATTGAATTGTGATACTACGAATTCTAATCCTGAGAGCCTGAGATTACGAGGTTGAACAGTTCCCGTTCCCTTTTTAGGTTCAAGCGTTGGCCTTTTCATATATGCTGCTCTGCAGAGGATGCTGGTTGAGTTCTATGGACTGGATGGATGCTTGCTGATTGTGGGTGCTTTGGCTTTAAATATATTAGCCTGTGGCAGTCTGATGAGACCCCTCCAATCTTCTGATTGTCCTTTGCCTAAAAAAATAGCTCCAGAAGATCTACCAGATAAATACTGCATTTACAATGAAAAAGGAAAGAATCTGGAAGAAAACATAAACATTCTTGACAAGAGCTACAGTAGCGAGGAGAAATGCAGGAGCACGTTAGCCAATGGTGACTGGAAACAAGAGAGCCTACTTCTTAAAAACCCCACAGTGACACACACAAAAGAGCCTGAAACGTACAAAAAGAAAGTTGCAGAACAGACATATTTTTGCAAACAGCTTGCCAAAAGGAAGTGGCAGTTATATAAAAACTACTGTGGAGAAACTGTGGCTCTTTTTAAAAACAAAGTATTTTCAGCCCTTTTCATTGCTATCTTACTCTTTGACATCGGAGGGTTTCCACCTTCATTACTTATGGAAGATGTAGCAAGAAGTTCAAATGTGAAAGAAGAAGAGTTTATTATGCCACTTATTTCCATTATAGGCATTATGACAGCAGTTGGTAAACTGCTTTTAGGGATACTGGCTGACTTCAAGTGGATTAATACCTTGTATCTTTATGTTGCTACCTTAATCATCATGGGCCTCGCCTTGTGTGCAATTCCATTTGCCAAAAGCTATGTCACACTGGCGTTGCTTTCTGCGATTCTAGGGTTTTTTACTGGTAATTGGTCCATCTTTCCATATGTGACCACAAAGACTGTAGGAATTGAAAAATTAGCCCATGCCTATGGGATATTAATGTTTTTTGCTGGACTTGGAAATAGCCTTGGACCACCCATCGTTGGTAAGATATTAATCTTAAAGTCATCCCATTTTACTGTTCTTCCCTGTCATATCTCCAGATATAGAAATCCAGATTGTAATAGTAGCACAGATTTGTACAAAATAAATCTGCATGGAACATCTCATGGTAATGATTTATTCAAGACTGCTTTGATGTAATTGAGAACACCAGTATGCATGCTCTGGGATTTGTGTTCACTCTTTATTTGGGAGAAACTCAAAGTGCCTGCTTATTCTTTTTTTTTTTTTTTTTTTTTTTTGAGATGGAGTTTCACTCTGTTGCCCAGGCTGGAGTGCAGTGGCGCAATCTCAGCTCACTGCAAACTCCGCCTTCTAGGTTCACGCCATTCTCCTGCCTCAGCCTCTGGAGTAGCTGGGACTACAGGCGCCCGCCACCACGCCCAGCTAATTTTTTGTTTTTGTTTTTGTTTTTGTTTTTTAGTAGAGATGGGGTTTCACCATGTTAGGCAGGATGGTCTCGATCTCCTGACCTCGTGATCAGGAAGTCACCTGCCTCGGCCTCCCAAAGTGCTGGGATTACAGGCATGAGCCACCACGCCTGGTCTGCCTGCTTATTCTTATCCAAACATTTGGGAGATCCTCTTCTGACTCCCAGTAAACCATTGGGAGTAGTGGAGTAATATATATCCTAATTTTAACTATATATAAAACTGATGAAATTAGGGTGTGGGCTGGATGTTCGTACTATTTCCATGAAACTTACTTTTTTTCTTACTGTCTTTTCAGGTTGGTTTTATGACTGGACCCAGACCTATGACATTGCATTTTATTTTAGTGGCTTCTGCGTCCTGCTGGGAGGTTTTATTCTGCTGCTGGCAGCCTTGCCTTCTTGGAATACATGCAACAAGCAACTCCCCAAGCCAGCTCCAACAACTTTCTTGTACAAAGTTGCCTCTAATGTTTAGAGGAATATTGGAAGACACTATTTTTGCTATTTTATACCATATAGCAACAATATTTTAACAGATTCTCAAGCAAATTTTCTAGAGTCAAGATTATTTTCTTATAGCAAAATTTCACAATGGATGACTCTGAGTGAATTATTATTGTTTTTTACATATCCTATTTTTTATGTAGTGTATGCGTAGCCTCTATCTCATGTATTTTTTTCTCTTTCTCCTCCCCGCATCATCAATGGGACTATTCTATTTTACTGTTGTTCACTAGTTCTTAACATTGTAAAAAGTTTGACCAGCCTCACAAAGCTTTCTCTATCTAAAGAAGTATAATTTCTCTGCCGACTCCATTTATTCCACTGCAAGGCACCTAGAGAGACCACTCCTATTTTAAAAGTGATGCAAGCAGCATGATAAGATATGTGTGAAGCCCACTAGGAAATAAATCATTCTCTTCTCTATGTTTGACTTGCTAGTAAACAGAAGACTTCAAGCCAGCCAGGAAATTAAAGTGGTTACTAAAACAGCCTTAAGAATTGCAGTGGAACAAATTGGTCATTTTTTAAAAAAAAGTTATTTTAACCTACAGTCACCAGTTTTCATTATTCTGTTTTATTTACCTCACTGAAGTACTCGCATGTTGTTTGGTACCCACTGAGCATACACTGTTTCAGTCCCTAAGGTGTTTGCTGAGATGTGGGTGAACTCCAAATGGAGGAGTAGTCACTGTAGACTTTCTTCATGGTTGGCCACTCCAGCCTTGCTCACTTTTGTTTCTTGACCATCCACTCAGCTGATGTTTCCCGGGAAGTGCTAATTTTACCTGTTTCCAAATTGGAAACACATTTCTCAATCATTCCATTCTGGCAAATGGGAACCATCCATTTGCTTTGGGCACAGTGGGGATGGGTTGCAAGTTCTTGCGTATCCTCCCGGTGAAGCAGTTATTTGCTACTATCGGATTTTACCACTATCAAATTTAATTCAAGGGCAGAACTAAAAGTGAGTGTGTGTGTGTGTGTGTGTGTGTGTGCGCGCATGTGCTATGCATGCTCTAAGTCTCCGTGGGATATGGGAATGGAAAAGGGCAATAAGAAATTCATACCCTTATTCAATTGCATTTAACCTTAAGAAAAATGTCCTTGGGATAAACTCCAATGTTTAATACATTGATTTTTTTCCTAAAGAAATGGGTTTTAAACTTTGGTGTGCATCAGAATCCTCTGCAGATCTTTTTGAAAATATAGGTGCCTGGGTATCATGTGTGGAACTTTTAATTCTGCTGGTGTAGGCTGTTGCCCAAGCATCTATCATTTTATTGAGCTCTTCGAGTGATTCTGATAACACAGCCTTGATTGAGAGTTTTTATAAGATTGGCAATGGAAAAACATTTATTCTTTTAAATAATAATTTTCTAAAAACCCAAGAGGTCAGGGTTTTTTATAAACAAATAGCCAAGTGTTCTTTAAATAGGAGGCACCCTTCCCATTGTGCCAAAATCATCTTTTCATTTCTTTTGAAATATGTATGGTTATTTTATACTTGTATGTTGCCTTTCTTTGAAGGCGCCTGAAGCACTTTATAAGCACGAATCCTCACAGTATCTCTGTGAGGTAGGTAAATAGTACTTTTCTATGTAGTAAACCTGGAGTATGGAGAATTTCCTAACAGTTCATTCTACTTAATAATGCAATAATGGAGCTCCAAGATGTCTTGGACTTCTACACCACACTCAGACTTCTGGAAAGTTTTCCGTACCTCATTCTTTAGTCCCTGTCAAGGTTAGTAAATAAAATAAGTGACATTAAAAAAACAAAAAAAAAACAAAAAAACCAACTACCTGTTGTGTTGAAAGTTCCTTTTTGCCAATGTTATGTTCAGGAAACCCAATAACCTGAAAAAGTTTGACTTTGATGTGACATCTTCATATTCATCAATGCTGATAATTGTCCAAAGGCATCTTCACTATGTCTACTAAATAACATCCAATGTGGGCATTATCTATTGTCTAGGGGATGAATTTTAAGTTACAATAAAATATTTTTGTTTTGCATCAGTTTGGTTGCTTTCTCTCCTCTTAGTTCTCCACCCAATTATAGTGACACATCACTTGAATGTAAAACTATAAATTACCCAGCATAATTCAGACTCTGGAACTTGGTGACTGGACAAAAGCATATTCTAAATGCCTAGCTACTTTGATCATTGCCTTCCAAAAAGCTGGTATATCAGCTTTACCTCTTGTTGTAAAGAGTACTCTGCAGGTCTTAATTCTTAATAATAATTTCACCAATCATTTATAGAATTCTTAATATGTTTCAAGCTTATGTTGTTTAACCCTCATAATAACCTTGTGAGATGGAAATTATGACCCTCATTTTATAATCTAAAATATGATTGTCATAATACTATGGACAGCATATTATAAAAGTATAAGTAATTTCCAAAACCAAAACGCAAAATGTTTCTCTTTGTAGAAATTAAAGTAAACCCTTTAATTTCTAACATGGTTTAGAAATTAGGCCTACCCAGGAGGGTTGCTCTAAAACTAATCCTTTAGTGAACAGAGAAAATTTTCTGTAGGGTAATCATGTCAGCAGGGAAGAAGGTTCAGCCACCAATCTTTAAAGGGCTCATGAGGAACAATTCCCAAGAACCAGGAGTTCCAGCACTGGGAGGTCATGACCAAAAACATATGTGCCAGCCAACCAGTCCCATGACCTTAGGTAGCCTCAGCACTTAGCAATTGGTATAGAATTATCCTAACTCAGGATGTTCCAGGACATAAAGGGGAGCTCCATTTTGAAACAAAGGACATCTCATTTTCTCTTTTACTTAGGAATATTATACTGAGCGCATAAAATACATGATTTACATTAGCAGTGTCATGCACTTTCTCCTTCATTAATAACAATCTTGGGCTGGGCACAGTGGCTCATATCTGTAATCCCAGCACTTTGGGAGACTTGAGGCCAGAAGTTGGAGAACAGCCCGGTCAACATGGTGAAACCCCATCTCAACTAAAAATACAAAAATTAACCAGGTGTGCTAGCACATGCCTGTAATCCCAGCTACTCGGGTGACTGAGGCAGGAGAGTCACTTGAACCTGGGAGTTGGAGGCTGCAGTGAGCCAAGATTGTGCCACTGCATTTCAGCCTGGGTGACAGAATGAGACCCCATCTCAAAAAGAAAAAAGAAAAAATCTTGGGACCGTCTGCTATATAGTCAATTGTATATAAAGGATGGTTAGTAAGATCCCTCTTTGAATAAGGAGTTTAATCTCAGTCAGTTAAAATGATCAGAGCTCTATGAATACGTGGATAATACTTGGGACTGCAGTGTACACACTTGTTAAGGTTGTGATTCCACAACCAGATTGCCTATCTCGGTCCCTGTGGCCAGGGGGGCTATTGTGGGAATTAAATGAGATTCCCAGTATATATACCTGACATGGTAGATGTCCAATAAAATATTAGCTATTATTTTTGTCGTCATTCTTAAATGCATTGCTTCTCTGTACCTGAGGGAGGCATCAGGTGTTCGGGAACTGGTGTAGGGTTAATGTTTGCATTAAAGAGCTTCATTTGGAAGAATAATGAGCCTCTGTTATTCCTAATCACTTAACTGTCACAGCTCTTGCCTGTTCTTGTCAAAATCTTCTTTCCTTAAGGATTCATGACTCAGCACATTTTTTGGAATTGCCATTCAGAAGCTCTGACACAAAACAAAACACAGGCTGTTCCTCCACAAATCAAATAGAAGCCACTTTGTAAATTGAATTGCTATGGGAATTTGAACTTTTTCTTTTTCTTAAGGACTCTCATCTGAACTGCTCAGAAGGTGGGCCTGAAATTGGGCAGAAAGCAAAATGATCTGATTTGTTTACTGAGTACTAATTGGCTTCGGCTCAGGGCCCTTACCTCACTGCTTTCCAGCCTTTGAGACTTACTCTTGAGGGAGTGCAATTTCTTGCCAGGTCTCCTGGGATTCTATTCCTAGTAGATCTCAGCCGCATTAGTTGTTTTTTTGCTGCATGCATTCCTTGTCCTAATGAGTCATTTACTTTTATTCTTTCTCCTTGCAAAAAGAAAAATTTAAATTTAATCAGTGTTTAATAAAAAAAGATATTCTAAAATCTTTGGTAAGCAACATGTTTTCAATACCTAATAATTAACTGTGGTCAAGTGCTTTCCTGCGATAGATCAACTTAAAACTACATAGCCACAAATATATGCTTATTCTTTTCTCCTGGAAAAGTTCCTGATAAGCAAGTTGTGATTCCTCCAGCTTAAATCTGAAAACTGCTGAATATCTACAGCTCTAATAGGGCATTGCTAAGGGCAGCCCAAATGACTTTAGAACCCTAGCAACAAAGGAGCAGGCATTTTTCTGGAAAGCACTCCCTAGTAAACTTCCTGCATGCAAACTCTGTTCCATAGTCTTTCCCACCAGGAAACAGGACAACTGAAATCCCAACATGTTGAGATAATGCCAAATACACAGAGTCATCAGAGCAGAGAGGGAGGGAGACACCTTTCTTGAAGGCCTTTTATGTGCCCAGTATTGTTCCAGGTACTTCACAAACCATGTCTTGTCCTGTTTAAGCTCTAAAGCTGTTGGCAAGACTGGCTGCTCGACTGTCAAGATACCACAAAGACGCCTTCTTGTCTTAGGACATTTGGAGTCTGGCTCTTTCCTGACAGGTTCAGGTACTTCGTTTCTTATTCATCCAACATTTCTTAAGTGAGCACCTAGTATGTGTTGGGTACTCTCCCAGGTACCAAGGATATAATGATGAGCAAGATAGACAAGGTTCCTGTACTCTTTGAGCTCATCGGTGCCCCAGAGTTGATCAGAATAAGTTAGATGGCAACGCAGTTGTAACAGAAGCTTCAGCTCCTGTGGGAAATTCTGGAGCTGGGATGGTCCTTCAGCATTGGCCCAGTGGAGTTCAGTCATGTCTGATTCACATTAAGATTCCCAAAAGAATGGATTTAGGGGAGCAAGATGGCTAACTAGAGAAGCCTGGCACTCTCCGCTCACACAAAAGAACCAAGGAAAGAAATACACAGCTAAAATTTGACTGCAGTGTTGAAGATAGACTGCTGGGGTACAGTGGGACAGTGGAGATGCACCTGTGGTGATTGGAAGTCTAGGAGGGCAGTGTGGAGGTACCTGACAGCTGCAGTCCCATCTCCTCCACCTAGATTGGATTGTCCCAGAGACAGGAGGGACTTCCTGTTGCATGGGAAAGGAAGCAAAATATCCCCACCAGCCCTCGTTGATACTGCAGACAGCTACAGTCCTTACAACAGGAAAATCCTGCAGTCCTCACAAGTCCTGAGCCCAATTTGAAGAGCTGCTGGGAATTCGCTCAGCTACGTTGCCCCAGATTAGGAGCACAAGGTGTGTACTCCCTATCTACCCTCGAGCCTCTGCGAACCAAGCTGCTGCAGCACAGTGCCATCTTGAGACCAAAGTCACCTCTGGAATGTACCCTGCTCTGGGGGCTAGAAGCCACTGCACCTGTCCAGCACCGGAGCTCCATCTTCATTCCACAAGTCCACAGAGATGACTGAATGCCACAACCCCAGCAGCGTGGAGCCAGAGCCCAGAATCAGCTGTGACTCTGGTCCTGCACAGCCAAGAAACCAACCTCTACTGCTGCACTTCCAGTCAAAAAAATAGTCTGGCAGTCCCACCCAGGGCGACCCTTCCCTTGAGCTGGCCAAACTGCTGCATACGCTATCCTAAGCAGAAGCAGTCCCTGAGCCTCCAAGCAGCTGATATGCCCCTGTGCCATTGGAGAGGAAATGAGTCCAGGATCTGGAAACAGCCCTGTAGCACCCTTGCTCTCCACAGACATGCCTCTGGACTGTCCAGTGGCCCTGCATCCCCAACAAGGGCCTGAGAAACAGTCCTGCAGGTTGCTCCCAGTGGGCATGCCTCCAGGCTAGCCAAGCAACTGTTCACCCATGTATTGGGCTTCATGGGCTGCTTCTAGTGGGCATAGCTTCATGCCTGTGCTTGCATCCCAGACCTACAAAACAGCCTTGGTAGGCTCTTCCATGTAGAAACACCACCAGGTTAGCCAAGCTGTCATGCAGCAATGTCATGAGTCTGAGAATCAGTCTTGTGGCTCCCCTGACAAACAAGCCCCTAGGTCAGGTTGGCAGCAACATGCTCATGTTTTGGACCTGAAAAATAGCCTTGTGGGCCACCCATAGCAGATATGCTTCTAGGCTGACCAAGCAGATTTGTATCTGTGTTCCAAGACAGCAAAATAGCCCCCTGGGTCACCTCCAGCAGTCATGCACTCAGGTGAGCTGAGAAACTGTGTTACCACATCTCAGACCTGAGAAATAGCCCTAAGGGCTGCCCCTAACACATATGTCCCCAGGCTGACCGAGCAGTTTTATGCCTGCATTCTGGACCTGAGAAACAGCTCTGCAAGCTTCTCCTGGTAGGCACACCCCCACCCTGGCCAAGCAACCATGTGCCTATGCCCATGGCAAGAGTAACAGCACTGTGGCCTTTCCTAGTGAGCCAATCCCCACGTTGACCAACCTACTGTGTATAGCATAAGCCCTTGGCCTGTGAAACAGCCTGATGAGCCCAACACCAACAGCACTGCTGCCACAACCCCTCAGCCTTGGCCACTAAGAAATTTTTAAATGCCACTAGTGTGGGTCATAGATGAAGAAACTACACAAAGACTACACTGCTAAATCTATCTAGAACAAAGGCCCACATATCCCACCAAACTGATATCCCAGGGCCCATTCATACAAATAAATTTTTCCTGACAAAACCTAATTCTTAAAATTGGAA